CATAGTAAGCCACTGCGGCATAAGCATCTTCATAATGATGTTTCTGAGTTAACAGGAGGGGCCTGGGGTGTTTTAATTGCCTTAGTTTCTAAATAAATGTAAAGAGATTTGTACACGTCCTGGATGCAAACGACCTCTTGCAGAAAGGCTGCCTGACTTTCCTTTTGGATTTTTGCCTCTGAAAGAAGGAAGAAAATCCCATTAAGGCTGGGTTTTGAGTGTGGTACTAGTATGTGCCCAAAACTATAATTAATGCAGACACTTACCACTTCTCAGTTTGAGATATAACTCTATATCTGTGAACCCTTCTCAGCTGCTAACACAGGTTGTTAAATACTCTTTTGTCTAGCTGATTTTTTTCAAGATTTTTGTGCCATTTCACTGGCAAGCTACAAGTGACATGAACACGCATCAACAGAAATAGGACAATTACAACAGATAGATAGCTAGTCAGTCAGTCCTTAGGTCAGTATGCAAATTGCTATTTTTAGAAATTACACATTTTTGCCCTGCATGTGGGCTCTCATCTTTCTGTAATTACAGGCATTCTGCTATATAATAGAGTCTACTTCTGTGTGACAAGTTATTTTGTAACACATTGGCAGCAGTTTCAATTGCACAAATCGATCCGGGCATTGGAAATTTAAAAGAGAATTTTTACCTTTATTGCCTAGTTTAATTTCTACCTGCTCTCTGCAGGTGTACAGGGAACATTAGTCTCATCCAAATTCCAGATCACTATTTGCTTGGGGTAATTTTAATTGAGCTGGCTGAAGGTGAAACTCACCCCAATGAATAATAATACCTGCTCTTCTAGAAGAATGACAGAGATGAAAATATAATTAATTCAGAGATCCATTCCTGTGGTCTAGCCACTGGGCACTCGTCCTCTAAATTAGATTGGACAGAATGGGAACTCCTTTGAAACTACCAGGCAGCCAGTTCAAAATAAACACAAAGGAATGCCTTTCCATAACATACATAATTGAACTGGGGAACTCACTGCCACCAGCTGATGTGGAGGCCCCCAGTATAAGCAGGTTCCAACAGGGTTTAAGCAGAGCTGGGAAGCCGGATCAACCACTGCTGCGGTCCCCAGAGGTTTGGCTGCAAGCTCCAGCTCAGAGTCCCTCAGGTCTCCCACTGCTGAGAAGGTGGCGGTGGGATGGATCATCTCCTCACCATGTTCCTCTCACTCCTTCCCTCCCCATCACCACTGGCTGCTCTCAGGAATGAGCTGTCAGGCTGATCCAGGAGCTTTGGTCCAGCCCTGTCGCTGCTCTCGGTTTTGTGTTGCAGTACGGGGCAGGTCAAGCCCTGTGGTCCCCAGGCACAGCTGATCACAGCCAAAACACAGAGAGCCTGGCTGCACCTCTGCTCCAGAGACAAGACTGTTCCACATAGCTCTCCTTTTCTAAGTACTGAGGTTTGCAAAGACCATATTTTACTGGAAGGTCCGCAAGCAAACCAGAGCATTCAACCCTGAGCTGGCTTTGCAGTGCCTTAGTGACCCTCCAGAGGAATTCAAGGCAGATTGCATTTTTTGTGTGTGTGCTTGTTATCTTATCTTTGAAGTCTTTTGGGAGGCCTCCATCTGCCTTCAACTGACCTGCACGCAGTCTGACTGCAAATCTTTGTTTAAAGAAGCAATTGTGAGGTTTTTTGGCTCACATATAACAGGTAAATGCAAAGAGATTGCCAAGGTCTGGCTTCACAGCCCATAACATTTTCATTAGCATCACTACCAGAGATGCCAGGTCAGAGTTCAGCCCTCCATCTTCAGTGGGCCCAGCACAGTCAGTGCTCTCAGATCTCTTTTTTCCCTAATCCACCTACCCCAGGGCTAAGGAAAGAGCTATTTTCCAGCTCTTCCAGAGAAAGCCAAGGGTGTGGGATTCCCCCAGTTCCTCCTTTCAGGAGACTATTTTCCCACATGCAGTCATTCCCTTTACAACACTGAGCCAAGGACTCAATATGCTCCTGTGGCTCACCAAGGCCAAGCCATAGATGAGCACTTGCAGGGGTGGAGATGACAAAGCTACTACAAAATACTGTTATTGTGACACAGGAGACTGACTGCCTGGGTCCCACACAGTGGCTGCCTGCACAGCCATGGATCAAACATTTTCCCCATTCATGCAATTCCATAAATGCTCATAGGCACCAGTTTTCCACAAACACTGTGGACAGACTCTGCTAAGTGATTAAGACATCCATTTTCTGTCTAGGTGCCTACACCCCAAAGGTGTCAGTGGCAATGTGCTGACTTTTCCTGTTTGCACCCAGGAGGCTGATTTCAATTTCTGCTCAGACCCCTTCCTGCACTCTGGCTCTGTGAAGGAGACATGAATTGCAGATTAAATGTAGTGATTCTCCCTGAACCATGGGTAAAATTCACCCTGCCAGGCCTTGCTCCAGAAGTTGTGGCCCAGTTTAGACAGGAGGATGGTGGGAGCAGCACATCTATAGAGAGGCTCTTCTCACTGTGCCATGAGAAGACTTTCCATGCTAGCCTGAAAGTCAAAATAGAAAACAATGCTCCAGGAGACAGATCAGGAGGGCACACAGGTCTGAGGTGAGTAAAGAACCCGTAGGAATGTTAAATTAGTGAGTTTTCGTCCTCTTTATTATCTGTCTTGGTAGCAGAGCTTTTGGACAAGATTACTTTCGGAGATTTTCAAGAGAGATATTGGCACCCACTGACACAAGGTTAATTCCCATCCTCTTGGTTCCTTCTGTGCCTGTGGAAGGCAAGGAAGAATTTCCAAATGCATGAATGGGGTTTGGATCAGACCCCGCAGTGCCAGCTAATAAACTCCCCCACGGCTCAGCTTCACCCTGCAGATGGGAAGCACTTCTAACTTAGTACAAGGTAATCTTGTTTAACCCAGAGTTTTTAAAATAGAAGTGCCCCTTGTGACATAACTTGGCCCACTCACCTTGGCTTCAGGTTTGTTAATAACTGAGAAATACTTTGTGGCACCTATCATGGAAGTACAAACAACTGATGCCAGCAGGAACATTTCCTATAATAGACTGGAGTTTATCTATGGATCCTTTACTTACACAGAAAGAATTGTGTCAGTAGAGTTAATCTTAAGTGTGTGTCCTAAGTGTGATGGACTTAGGTCTCTCCTTCTCCTGAACCCTCCTACTACCCTCAGGCAGCAGCTATATCCCCCTGACCAGTGCTCATACCCACCAGTGGAGATGAAGCATTGGAAAAGTGACCTTCAGAGGTGCCACAGGAGGTTTTTCAGTTGGAGAGAAAATCCTTCTCCACAGTCCTGCTCCCTTGGCTGCAGCACAATTACTGCAGCAGTTGGTATGTGCTTGGAGGGACCTACAGCTGAATGCTAAATTCATTTATTTCTCAGATTTCTCAGACTCTGCATATCTATTTACCAAGCATAACTGTGTGCTTCTCCAGCCTCACATGGGTACTCCCTTGTTTTCTTTTCCCATTGCCAAGAAATAGTAAAATGTTTTGCAACAGCTGGCTGGGAGCACCCACATCCCAGGGCAGCTGGAAGACAGAGGATACAGAGACTCTCCTAGTAAAAGGCAAGAGCCTTTTACTCACATTCCCCTTGGGCTGAGTGGAACTTTAACCCTAATCTCCCACATCCTGTGTGGATGTCCCAGCCACCTCCTGCTTTGCTTGTTGACATGTAATTAAAACCCACAAAAGTTTATTAGAAATACAGGTTACATTTTCACACAGTCCTATAAGCTGTCCTTGCACAAAATGTGGATTCCTGCTTTGAGCAGGAGGGGCATGGTTTAGTAATTCTTACAGTACTAAGACTTTTTGTTCCAAAATGCTTCACTTTTCAAAAAGGTGTGTGTGGATTTTGTTTACCCTGTAAATTACACTCAATCAAACAGGCACTTTGTAACAGCAAATGTAATCACAGTGGCTTAGGAGAAGCAGCAGAGAGGAAGCACGTGTCTCATTGGACCTGCAAGGGGAATTTAAGTAAATAAAATGGATAACTTGTGCTGGAGTCAGGACATGATGTAGACCTGAAGTCAGTCTGGTGCTTGCAGGCAAGCTGCTGAACTGAGTGAAGTGGGACATTTAACAGCACAATTTGCTTTATTAGTGTCATAAAGTGCCCTGTCTGAGCTAGCGGTCAGGATTTAGGAGGGGGTCGATATTGAAAAAAATCCATTCATTGATTATGAAGTTTTTCAAACTTTCTGGATGGCCAGCTGTGATGTGTTCACTCAGTCTGTCTGCAGAGAGGCTGTTTGCAGAATGGGTGGGTTTTATAAACCTTCTTCCTCGTGAACCTGTTTTTCATCCGGCAAAGGCTGTGAAAATTCCAGGTGAATTCAGTCACCAACTACACCCCGTGAGGGGCAAATTCTCCACAACTGCCCCTCTGAGGAGTCCTAGGAAGCAGTTTGCAAGGCCTGCCTATGCTAAACTGGCATAAGGACCAGTGCCTAAATACAAGAAAAAACCACACTCGACCTTGTAGCCAAGATCAAGGCTGAACCCAACCAGAGATTTTCCCACCATTCTTCTTCCAGTGGACTTTCCTGTCTTGGCTATTGAATGATGTCTTCCACAAACATGATGTTTACCTCCAGCTCTGCCACAGCCACCCCAACTCAAGGTCACCAGCACCCTCCTCTCCCCCCTGCAGCCAGGTCTTTTGTAAAAACACCCTCTGAAGGCATTGGTTTGGCCTCATTCTTTGCCTGAACTTCGTCCAAGAGCAGCACGAGGCGGTGCAGCTGGGGGTGATGTTTGGAAAACCTCGTTCATGAAATGTAAATACTTGTAGGTGTTTGTATAGATAATATGGTCTCATGAAGGAACCACTTGATGTGTCAGCGTTAATACCTGCATCCCTTCATTCCCCCGGCGCTTGTATGCACAGTACATATTTTGCTTATAGAATACAGAGCAGGGCTGTAATAGAGATGTCTTCAAGCTACATTTATTTGATCTATTTGTTTTTACATTATTTTTATGCTACTAGCAAATGGGCTGTTTGGGAATCAAAATGCCAAAGCTGAGGTATGAGCAGGATCGCTCATCTCCATCCCCCCATCAGCCATGATAAAGAAATCAGACTGGTATTGATTGTGGCAGAGAGGGGAGCAGAATGCAATAAGTATGCAAGTCCATGCCAGTCATTTAGCACCTTGGGAAAGGTGATATTTTTGCCTTAACTTCCTGGCAGTTTAGAGCAGTGCTGTGTCCTGTGGGACAGCACCACATCTTTTGGGAAGACACGGTGGGAAATGCCTTCCAGTAAACATCATTAACAAGCAGCTTCAGCAAATATTGGTGATTATGCATCACTCAAGGCTGAAGAATGGCAAGGGAAAGGTGTGTTTCCTTAACCAGCACACTGCAGGCATTCAGACCTCAGAGGGGTCCCAACAGAGCTGAACCCAGGGCTGTCAGTTCCTGCACTCTCAGTGTCCCTCTGTGTCCCAAGAGCCTTTCTCCCTGGTCCCAGTGACCTGGGCAGGTTTGCTGGCAGTGGCCTCAGCAATCACAGCCCCAGGGAGAGGCTGCCCCAGTGCAGGGGCAGGTAAACACCCCAGGGCTGCCACGATGCACATCCAGGGCTGACTTCAGTCCTGGAGAATCCCAAAGCAGAGTGAGTGCTGGTGGTTGGTTGGCTTCAACAAACCCCTCAAAAACCTTGATTTCCACCAAGACAAATGTGCACCCTGCCACCTGCATGCTTTTGGCCAAATTGCCATCAGGCCTGTCCCCCCAATGGACACCGATGGCCATGTCTCTGAGATTCTGGAACCCAAACGCCTCTCCCTCTTTCAGTCACAGCTGCTGCTTCCTACAGTTTCTCATCTTTTTGTCTTTTGTGCTCCTAGGCAAGGTCAGCCAGGCTGTGACTCTCTTTCCGCCGAAGCTGAAGACCCATTAGCCCCGTTGTGCAGAGCTTGAGGGATTTGCATTTATCACCACCCCGTGTGTTTAGACCTTGCTGAAAGTGCTCCTTATCTCTCTCCCCCACTGAGCAGGGGATGTAATAACTTCCAAGCCCTTACCAATAGCCAGGATATGAATGCTGCCACCTCCAAACAGCCTGTGACACTGCATCCATCACCTCGTGTCCATCACATCTCAGCCTTGTGGGAGCTCTGCTTGGACCAGCCTCAGGCAGATACACATGGATTATGTATCTCAGCTTCGAAGCAGAAGATTTTATTGCTTTCTCAATGATCATAAAATACATTCTTAGGTCTGAGTGTTCTTTATCTTTCTCCCTTGCTGGGAAGTGTGAAAAACAAGGCTTGAAAGTTTAAGAGCAGATATTTTTTTGTGTGTGCAGGTTTGAGGTCAATGTGTAAAAAACCTACCACCAGCTCCTAAAATAAGATTAGAAGGTGTCACCAGTCTGTGATGTACAACTGCCCAAGGAACAAGCTTCTTTACACAGAAAAAGGTGCATGCTAATTGATTTGTGCATGTACAAATGAGAGTGCCCATGTGTGGACAGACCAGGAGATACCAAACAGACCAGAAATGGAAAGCTGAAATACAAAAGGAAAACTGCATTTAAAAAATGCAAGTGTTTGTTTTTATGGTGCATTTACAATGGTGCAATATAGAGAGGCCCAGGTGTCCTTCCTGGGCTACTGTAAAAGCAAAGTGACAGATGCAGGGAGGAGTAACACCTTTTATCAGACCAGCTGATAACAGCCTGAGAAAACAGATACATTGGGACACACAAAGCCTTGCTCAGGCCAGAGGAGCGGTTTCTGTTCAGATCTGACAAGAAGTCCATGTACCTGTTAAACTTGTCTGGTTTTCGTGCCTTTAGAGCTTACAGCTGCTGTCAGGCCATGGGATTCAGCTGTCAGGAGCAGCTGGGAGCTGCCACGGGACCCCACAGCACCAGGGATGCTGTGCCCCCTCCCCTGCTGTGCTGCTCATTCCTGCAGCCCCCAGCTCCCTGCCAAGGACCTCTCTGGTGCCCAGTCTGAAACCAGGACTGCCTGGAGCAACTTGTTCTTGGAAAATGTGCACTTGTGTGGTTAGACATGCTCTGCAGGGATGTAGACAGGACATCAATGGTCCCAGACACACCCCTCAGTTCCTGGTTTCCTCACCTATGCTCTGGAGCTGTCCAGTTTTCCAGTATGCCCCATTTATCAGGATGGAAGTCATCAGGAAGGACTGGGAGCCTTGCGAGCCTTGCATAGTTGGTAGCACTTCCCATTCCTGGACCAAGGACAATCAGGGCACACTTGGAGGATCCTGAACTAGAATAGAATAGAATAGAATAGAATAGAATAGAATAGAATAGAATAGAATAATTTAGGTTGAAAAATACTTCTAAGATCTTTGAGTCCAACTATTAACCCAACACTGCCAAGTCCACCCCTAAACCACATCCCTCAGTGCCTCTTCCACAGGTCTTTTAAATTCCTCCAGGGATGGTGACTCAACCTGGCAGACTGTTCCAATGCTTGAAAACCCTTTCCATGCAGAATTTTTCCTACTATCCAGTGTAAACTTCCCCTAGAGCAATCTGAGGTCATTTCCTCTCATCCTCTCATTTGTTGCTTGGGAGAAAAGACAGATGCACACCTGGCTACACCCTGACTGTCAGGAACTTGTAGAGAGCAATTAGGTTTCCCCAAGCCCCCTCTTCTCCAGGTTAAACAACCCCAGCTCCCTCAGCCAATCCTTGTAGGACTTGTGCTCCAGACCCTTCCCCAGCCCTGTTGCCCTTCTCTGGACCTGCCCTAGCACCTCAATGTCCTTCCTGAACTGAGGGGCCCAGAGCTGGACACAGGATTTGAGGTGTGGCCAAGTACAGGGGACAATCCATTCCCTACTCCTGCTGGCCACACTGTTGCTGGCACAAGTCAGGATGCTCATCTTGCATCAGGTCCTTAACTAAGGGGTGTTCTGCTCTTTGGGGTTTCCCACTTACCAACTGGTGCGCCTCCTGCGACCTGCATAGCCTCAGGGTAGGTTTTAAAAGGTCAAAATAAATTGTTTTGACCTTCCAGAGCTCGGGGGAGAAATTGTTATTTCTATTCTGCACCACATTTTTATTCCGCGACGGAATGAGATTTTTTTGCACCTTTTGCTGAAAATTGGGGATGTCTTGTAAACTCACGATTCCTCGACCAGTTCTTTCCACAGCCCTTCCCCAAGAGCAGTTTTGCAGACTCCTCTGGGCACGTAGCCAGATGGAAGGGATGCTTTCACAGGAAAGAGGTGAAGAGATGTTGTTTGATTCTTTCCTATCTCTATATTTGCACCAACAGAAGCTAAAAACAGAAATGCCTCCGTACCTACAGCTGCACTAAATATAACTATCTAGTTGGTTCTATATATACATTTTTAAAAGCATGCCATGTGATACTTGCAAAGGATTGAGCCTGGAAAATAAATTACAATGCCAGAGGGCCAGAGCTGTCAGTCACTCCATGCAAGGTAAACCACTGATTGATTTGGTCCTCGAGATTGGCTGACTTTTCTCTTTGTCGTCCTCTGATAATAACAAACTTACTGTATTTTCTGGTTTAAAAAAAAAAAAAAAAAAAAAAAAAAAAAGCTCAATAATAGTAATAACTGATATCTGAAAATCCAGGGAGAGCCAAGGATGTGGTATAGAGATTTTGGTGCATCTGGGGTTAAAACCTCCAGTCCGCAGCGGCAGTGCTGTCAGTCACTAATAGTAACCTTGCGTAGCTGCATGCATTAAGGTGGTATTGGATGATAAGGCAGAGGAGCGAAGCAATCTGTTGGGCTACAGCTGAAAACACAGTCACTGCTGCGCAGGGAAAGGCTCCATCCCCTCCCCGGCTCTTTCTTCAGAAATGAAAATGCAGGGAGTCGTGCCGAAGGAAGGGAAATCTGATTTCCCACTGCTAAGAGACAGGGTGGCACTTGTGAGAAGGATTTCAAGGTCACGGTGGCGATGCTATCAGCGGCGATGGGGGAGCCGCGCACACCGCAGGCGAAGCTGCACGGAGGTGGGGATGCTCTGCGGGGAGATCATCGATAGCTGCGGGAGCTGCCTGCTGGGGGGCACCTCCACCCTTGTTTTGCACACAAAAGCACTGGAATCCGGCCATCAAGGTGACGGTGAGGGGTAAGAGGTGAAGTGCCTGTGGATAACTGAGGTTACACAGCCACCCAGCCTCACACGCACCGGGCAGTGCTGGAGCATCCCCTTCCCCTGCGCTGCCCAGAGCCTGGTAAACCCTCTCCCACTGCCGACAGGGCACAGCCAGCCTGGAAACAAACTCCTGTTTCCTTTAATCAACATATTCGAAGGCAAATAAGTGAAATGGCAGGGAACCCTGAGGTCTGAGCAAGGCCAAATGAACTCTCAGTGCAGTCTCAAAACTGCAGCTCTGTCAGTAAACAGCAAGGATTTGAGCACAGGAGCCTACATTCCCACCGACACCCTTGGTTCCAGTTGTGCTCCACCTACATTTCTAACCTTGGGCAAAGCACTTACCAGCTTAGCACCTCTGTTTACTCTTCTTCTTGTAGAACAAAAAGAAGTCATGAACCACTTCACGGGCTTACGTTAGAATTTCAAAACTAACACTTATATGGGTCTTGGAGATCCCTGGCTGGGAGGTTCCACAAAGGGGACCTCTACATCAAAGTGCAAGCATACACAAAAGTGGTTCAGGGAGTACAAGGACTGGCTCTTGCAAAGAGGCTCCTGAAGTGAGGGCAGCAGTGCGAGCAGAGGTTGCACAACCCAGTCAGGGAATGTTCCAAGGTGTTACTGAGACCTTCACTAGGGCCTGTCTAGAGGGCAATGGAAATTTTACCCTGTTAAAAACAGGTGCAAGGCGTTCAGAATGTCATAAATTTAATCTGGACTACCTTTCCTGGATTATCTGATTTGGATAGAGAATTTAAAAAATGCCACTTATCTTCTCAACAAGTACTCTGACCTACCACTTTGTTTTTTCACCAGTCTTTTTTGTCCTTTTTTGTCCTCATTTTTTTGCTCTCCAAACTCCAGAGCTGATCTGGACACTTGAAAGCCTGCAGTCAAGAGTTTCTCTGATTATGCCAACACTCATCAATCCCACTGGCAGAAATACTAACAGATCCTTGGTGCTCTTTTGTAATTAGGGAACAAGTATATTCTTGCAGTTTAAGCACTGGGGAGGCATGTGGGAGATGGGGATTAAATTTGCCCCAACAAAACCTTCTTGCAGAAATTTCCATAATGCTGAATCTTTCTGTAAATACTTGTACTCCAGAATACCACATGGCTCCTATTCCACATTCAGTGAATATGCCCCGTGACACCTAAAAATATCTTTATGGTGGTAGTGTCTACCTGAGCTGCTCTGTGCCCTGAATCTATTTTTATGTATATATGTATATCTATATCTATTTTTATGTGTATATATATATATATATATATATATCTTGTCACAACCATAGGACTATGAAGCTATAGGGACCTAAGTAATCTTACAATTTAAGGGAGTTAGGACACTCTTGTTATTGTTTGGTTTGTTTTTCCAGCCCTTCTTTCCATTTCTCAGTTTTCCACTGCCCCTCGCTGGGAAATTGAGGACTGCCAGGGGTTGACACTCCGGTGTTTTCCTGGCTGCTAATTTGTACTTTAAATAAAAAGGAAAGTGAAGCTGATGCAGGTAGGGCTGGTGTGGATCCAGCAGGGATCAGTGGGAAGGAGAAATGCTGCTTTACCCCATACTGGCCCTGAGCAAAGGGAAATTGAGCAAATAGCTGCCGTCACTGCACACCAAAGCTGAGCCTGAAATACCCTGCCTAGCAGGGCGGGTAACAATCCTCTGAGCCAGAGAGGGAAAATTACCTGAGAAAAATGCAACCAAGCCAAAGACAGCTGGGAAAATTCTGCTGTTCAGCCTTCTTTGGCCCATTTTTTCAGTGCAAGGTCCTAAGGGCTGTATCTGTATCCTGAGTGGTGGGACACCAGTGCAATTTCCCTGGGACCACAGCACTGCACTGGCTGCTGCCACTGCTTCTCTGGGTGGGGATTGTAGGGGGAAAAAAGGCTATTGCTGATGTAGGGGCAAGGAGGATGAGAGGAATCATCTAAGAGTCACTGTGGGCACAGCTGCCTATATTTCATTTTGACCAAGAGCCCTCATTGTAGTGGGCAGAACTTTATAAAATGAAAATACTTAACACAGACTCCTGACAATTGGGCGCTGAACTGTGTGCATGCATATGAAATAGAGTTTTTATGGCTGCACCACTTTTACTGTTGCTTTCCTCAACAAGAACTTTCCTTGTAGCTATGGTGAAAAGTCTTTTGCCATTGCAGGGCTTTCCAGCCAACACTACTATGGTATTAAAGAGGCAGCATCACATTTAAACACTGAAAACAGGCTTTTCTAGCTTCTGAGCTTGGTCAGAGAAACAAAGACAACACACCACTACTTGATCACAATGAAATGTTTCAAACAGAACCTTAAAATATTATCTCAAGTCCTCATTTTAAGAAATATCACATCATGACCGTCCACAGTGGCAAATCACACAGAAATCTAGGAGTCAATCACTTCCCAAGGAGATGCCCTGCTCAGTGTCTAGTGGTCTGCTGCTGGCCATGCCAGGCTTTGGCTTGCAGGTCATTTGTAGCCAGGGGACACAATCTCCAGCCAGGCTGAACATTTCATCAGGACAGCTACCCAAAGAAACCCTGGTGGTGGCCCAGTGACATCCCTAGTGCAGGGATTTGGCTTCTCTCTAGCTACACAACAGGTCTGCCCCAGCACGAGGCAGTGGCCCACATCCCATGGTCTATCTGCCATGGTGAGCAGTGATAAAAAGGCTTTGGTCTACATTGTTATGGTCTCAAACTGGGCTGTGTTTCCAGCCCTCCTTGCATGCAGAATATGTTCAGGAAGGATAATCCTAGGGTAGGTGCGTTAGACAAAAAAATCAGGTGAATTGGTTGCCTTTAGGGATCAGCCTAAAGGTGAGAGTAAACTCCCTGTGTGACAGGGAAAACAGATATCTCCTGCTTCATGGTCAGGGAGAAGAGAAACCTCCCCCTAACACAGACCAGGGCTGTGGGAAGCACCCAAGCAAAGCCATTCCCTGGCTGTAGGAATTACCGAGCAAAGCTGCATCCTGCCATTCTTACTCCTGTGCTGCCTCTTTCTGCCCTGCAGAAGGGACGGAGAGCAGGTCCAGCATTCACAAAATCACACTGAATTCAAAGAATTACTAGATTGGAAGAAACCTTCAAGATCACTGAGCCAAACCCACCCCCAACACCTCAACTGAACCATGGCACTGGGTGCCACATCCAATCTTTATTTAAACACATCCAGGGATGGTGACTCCACCACCTCCCTGGGCAGACAATTCCAGTACTTTATCGCTCTTTCCACAAAAAACTTTTTCCTAATATCCAACCTATATTTCCCTTGATGCAGCTTGAGTCTGTGTCCTCTGGTTCTGTCAGTGCAGCCTGGAGAAAGAGACCGACCCCACCTGACTACAACCACCCTTCAACCCAGCTGCACACACAGAGACAGCAAGAAATCTTGTGTCTTTCTCACTGTATCCCTTACCCATCATTTCCATTTCTAGTGCTGCATCCAGATTTTGTGTTTATCTTTCTTGAAGCCGTTCAGCACACGCTGAGACTTTAATGCCTGGAAGAGGAGTTAAGTAATGAGCCTCTTAAGTACAGATGCATCCCCTCAGGTATCTCCTGGGTCTCCTGTGGGATCAGGCTCTTCCCTACTTTTGCCACAGGCACAAGGCAGTGCCAGCAGGGTGACTGCTGCAAGGATTAAACTCGGGTCACAATTAGCTCAAGATTTGAGTACTGAGTCCCAGCCCTAAGGAAAGTGGCAGGAATCCAGGAAGGAGGTGGTAGCCAGCAGCACAGGGGGTGTCCTGGGATAGCTGGGCTCTGCAGGAGTGCTGCACACCACTGCTCTGAGCACCACAGATCCACCCAGAGCTGAAACCCCAGGAGATCTGTGCTATCTCTGTTTTCCCTGTGACTTTTGTATGCAAAAGTAACCCACAAATCTCACTTTTTAAGTCTTTTGCACGGTTCAAAAGGAACAGGGGAGAAGCACTGTTAGGGGTAACACAGAGCCTCAGGTTAGTGTTGTCAAATCCCAGAGGAAAGGAGGCAGGAAAGGGTAAAGGGAAGTGGGAGGAGAGCTGAGGTTCCAGGAATTGTTAGCTGCACATACAGGAAAAATAATACTGCCCTCCCTTTGTCATCAGCAGCAGTGGAGATGCTCTGCTGTAAACACTGAAAACATGGAAATTTTTAGTCAGATGCCTGCATGTGTCTGTGCTTGCAACAGTCAAGGAAAAGGCTGAATTCTCTTAAATCTGAGATGTTTGCCAAGCTGCACATTCGATGGAGAAGAAACTGATAAAAACTTCCCTCCTCCACCCTCTCCTCTGGCCCTGAAACACTGACCACGGTGGAGCCCCAGGGTCTCAGCAGCTCCCAGGCAGCTCCTCTCCCTCTCTGCCTCACGGAGAGCCAGAGGCTCCCAGGGCACTCTGCAATGGGCACTCTCCACTGGCACTGCTCCCTGCTTCCTAAAGATGGGGATGTTTAGGAGCAGCAGGAGTAATTCCAGATGATTTCCTAATGAACAGAGGTATGACAGGAACATTGCCTGCCTTTTATTAAAAAATCATTGCTAGATAAGAAATAAAGGACTGGGGGGAGGGAGGCGGGGGGTTTCTTCCCAAATCACATTTGGCAGGACAGAAAATGCAAATTAGCAGAACAGTTCTTTTGGTTAGCAAACTGATTTCAAAATTTCTCATACCTGATTTCTTTGCAGGTCTCCCTTTCTGTGCAAAATGTAATGTCCCTGCACCCTGGGGTTGAATTTTGCTCAGTTTCAAGGAGAAAATGAGTTTCTACCTCGCAACACTTTATGAGGATGCCAAATACTTCTATGTATTTTATAAGTCTAAATCCTATCTTCTCCAGAATTTCCAGTAATGTCTGTGAAAACTTTGGAGAATTGTCCCCATCATCTGCTGAAGAAACGCAAGGTCAAGAGCAAAAGCAATCATTCCAGATCCCTCAAAGCAGCCTAATCCCAATTATCAAACACCCTGTTAGATATGCTGGGTCAAATTTAGTCCTGCTCCAAGCCAATGCAACAGTGTTTAGAGGATTCTGGCTTACAGCCATTAATGAGTATTTATTTGCCATTGCTTAGACAAATGACATTATGACAAAAAGTATTATTCACCTGGGGGATTTCTTTATGAAAACATATATTTCATATGGGGTTCACAAGTTTAACTCAAATTCTATTGCACTTCACACAGGTTCTCTCATCTCCATGGGCAATACAAGAGACTCCTATGGACACTGTGACTGCCATTTCTCACAGCTTTCACCTGCTTCTTGCAGATTCTTGGCTTGGACAAACCTAAATGTCCAAGAGGAATTTATCTTCTGTCGCCCTGAATTTTTAAGATTTTCTCAGCCTTCTGATGTTTGCATTCTTGTAGCAAACTTTCTCACATACTTTCTATAAACAACTTATTGTTTTGCATTCTTTTATGAAGGAAGAGAAATTTGATGAACTATTGCTTTGTCCAGTGTCATGGGAGAGGTGGCACTTTCACCCTCCAATCCACTGTCACCTTTGGAAATCTATAAATGTTAGAGTCAGAAAATTAACTTCCCT